ACCCCACTGTGAAAGAAACAATGACATTTATGCAAAAGAAATAAATATGTCTTTATTTTAAATACGAGTGTATTTTTCAATCAAATTTCTATATTTCTTCTTTTTTATCTTAAATTATACCATAAATATTTCAAACACCGTTAAAATCGAAAAAAAAAATATATATATATTTGAATCGTATCATGATAAATATAATTAAAAATTAAATATCATAAAGATGATATATAAGAATATTTGTTATAACATTTATATGCTAATTAATTAATTAATTAATTAAAAATTAATCCATATATGACAAATTTTAAAATGAAATATAAAATTTGATAAAAAAAACACTTCGTTAAAAAATAAAGATATTGCTTTTGAAAATAAATACTTTTATTAATTACTAAATAATAGTACTTTTTTTAAATTGAGACACCTTATATAAATATTAAAAAGAATTTAATATTGCATGATAAAATGAAACTTAAAATTTAAAAAAAAAAAAAAAAGAATCATTTTATAAATAGTCATTAGAATCATTTCTTTAATTGAAATATTTTATATGATTACTATTTTCTAATGTATAATTCAATCATCAGTTTAATTTAACAAGGAATTAATTTTATGAATGATTGATGCTAATCTTATAGCAGATGACAGACATATCTTTCAGCGAGAATTTCAACACGATTAAATTATCACAATCATGAGCAAAAAATGCATAATTATTTGATAATGCATAAATTATATTAATTATTAAATATAAATTCATTATTTTTCCATTCATTTTTTTTTTTTTTTTGCCTTGGAACAACTTTTTTTGTATCGATATACTGACTAGTTTAATTAATATGTTTTTTGTTTTCATTTACATTTTTTTTTATTATATAAAACATTATATCTTATTTATAGTTTAAATTCTGATTACTATGAATATTATAATTTTATTTTATGCTGAATCGATAATGCTAAATTCTAAAAAATTTGGAATACAAAAATATATTGTTTCATTATCATTTTAGTGTCACTTTCAATATTATCAGCAAAAGATAAGATTATAATTATAGACGATAAAAAGAATAG